AATCTATAATCTCTAATCCGAAGTCTTACCAGTGAGGTTTGACCGGATCGATACAGCTATGGTAGTGTCATTAGATTAGATCTCATTAACTAGTGAGTTTATTGAAGATTGGAACATGTCTTTGGATGCATTGTATGTTTGATTGGAATAGAGATAAAACAGCCGATCTACTGGAGCTAAGTCGTCAATTATAAGATTCAAAGTATGACCAGACTAGAAGACGATCAATTAAGATGATGTGATACTGATTCTATCTCTATCTCAATCAGGTGATTTGTTATAATTAATAAGACATTAATTATAACAAGATCGATAACTAATGAATCAACCAAAAATAGTAGGGAAAACCTTACTAATCTTAGCAGATTCGATAACTGGTGATATTGTATTAAACAACAAGTTATTTAACACAAGATCGATAACTTTGATCTATATTATGGTTCGTAAGAGATCAATCAGCTGATGCAGCCTTACAGACTATGATACAGATCGATAACTAGCTTATATTATGGCTTATAAAAGATGACTCAGCTGATGTAGCTTTACAAGCATAATACAAGTCGTGATGGTACTCACAGACAAGTCAGAGGTCAATCGGTCGATGCAGCTCTACTTGTTGAAGAACTCGCCGAGTTTCTACAGTACTCCCACTCCTAAGGGTTGGTGTGAAGCTAGAAAAGTAATTGTATTGATTGATTGTTCGTTCTTTGTACAATAAACGAGGTCCAATATACCCGGAACCTAAACATGAATCATACTCAAATACGACTCATTACAATTCTTGGAATAAAAGAAAACATTCCTAACATAAAAATAACTTGGACCCTAATCTTTTTCTTTTTGTAGAGTCCGACATATTTTTCCCCGACACCATTCGTACATAGTCCATTGATGTTATCTGCTGAAGTCATCCAAAAAGAGCCGATCCCAGTACTGCACCTGAATCAGCTAATATCGAACCTTACACAATCGATTCCTTGATGACACAATCTTGGAAGCTTCGAGTTCTCGCGTTCTCCTTCCCAAAATTTGGTGTAAACACCAATGTATCCAGGATAACTGTTGCATATCCTGGAGGCAACGGACGTCCATTTATCATATTCCTTGGATGAACCTAATCGACAGCTACCTTGTGCCTAAATACGGCCTTGCATCCTTGTGACTCCACGTAGAGCATGCAATATGTAGGTTCACTGATGTGATCCACGTCGAAGGTGGAATCTGCATCTACTTCTAGAAGTTGTGTGCTTCCACAACTGCTGCGTACCCGTTCTGAGCTGAAGTTTCTCTAGGAAACTAGTTCCGCTTCTCTTTGAGCCTGGTATGTGGCAGTCAATGCTGCCTCCTTTTCTTTCCATTTGGCCTCGAACATAGCTGACAATTCTTCATGCACATTCGCAATTTTTCTGGCATTGTCTCCCATGACTTCTGTACGTGGATTGGTCATTTTCAAAGGCAATCTGCCATGGAACCAATTGTTGGTATAAATTAATGCACATAGAATAATCCACAAGCGTACAGATATTATACCATTGTAGCACTTCACCGGAAGTAACCCAGTTTTATATCGAACCCAAAGAAACGTGTGTGAGAATAACTAAGTCTATCTTAACCCAACTTCACAATCAATGCTAGATAATAGGAGTGTAGAGGAGACTGCTGAGGTCTTCTAGTTCTAACTTTGGTAAGTTTTGTCTTCTATTGTTTAATTCTAGGGATATTACTAGAGAAAACACAGGCAGAGTATGTTTCCTATAGCAATAAGGTCCTGCTAGGCCTACTAACGGAAGGTGGACTACAAAGGATTTAACAAGGCTATAAGAGTTACCCTCATGAGCTAACACCAATCTAGAAAATAGGATACATCCACAAGTAACCGAGTCTAAGCACCACACTTACACTACGAAAACTACTTTAACCCAAGATCTACAAGGATTAAAGTACATAAAAGAGAGTTGCAAACCTGAAGAACAATATGAACAAGATGCTTACTTAAATTAGAAGTCGATTACCAGAGAAATCTCAGAAGCAAGCTCATGAAGAACTTGATTCTGCTAGGGTACAAGCCGTAGAGAGAGCACCGATAGGCCGGGACACCTCTGAAACTCTTCCCTCTCACTCCATCTCTCTATCTCTAATACAAGACTAGATCCTATTGAGGACTAATCTTCTCTTGATTGCTAGCTCTGATCCTGGTGTAAATATGGATTAGGGTTTCTGGCCCTCAGGCTCTCAGGATCAAAATGCCTTCTTCCTGAAGGGGGGTGCAGGCAAGTATATATAGGCCAGAGCATCAATCCTTAGCCCTCAAATCAAACTGACTTGAATAAACGACGGAGATGCAATCCTTAAGGCAGTGGAGAACTGACGTAACAACGAAGAGGCTGACAGGGGGCCCACAGGCCTACCGGCCCCACATGGCAGTGGCTCAGAGTCTACTTCGGTGGAGAGCCTCCTGGAGTCTTCTAGAGTCTTCTCACGCTGTTTACGCGATGGAATTCTGTGATTTCCTTTGACGAATAGGTCCTCCTTGGTGATTTTCTGATTAAATCCTGCTGACAACACAGATTCACCAAAACTCATGAAATTTGTTAGTTTAAAACCCTAAGTCTACATTGGTGATCCATTTGAGCCATTTATGCAAGTTATATTGATGGTTTGTGACGAATGTTAACTACCGTCAACACCAGTCCTACACCTCGTGCCCAACTAGAATGCTCTTTTGTCCCTAGTGCCTGACTCAGGACGTCATCCTCCCTGTTAGGAACAAAAGTACCATTTGCCACTTGAGCCTGTAGTGCTTGTATCCTTTCAGCAAGTTCCCAGACTGCATCGTTTGGAAAACTTAGGGAGCCGTCATCGTTGTAGGTCATCTTTCTTGCAAGAAGATACCTCAACAAGCGGGCACCCCAGCCTTCAATTTGCGGTGTAACACCTTTTTGGAATAGCTCTTGTAACTTCTTCTCCCACTTAGGAACTTTCTTCGCGTACCCCCAAGAGCCGGTGCGGTGGGGGTTATCATTTCTATGGGAGTTGAGGGTATTTACTTTGCTAATTTTACGAGCTTCCTCTAAGTTCTTCCAACTGACAAAAGCTTCCCATTATGCTTGCTGAGTAGGGTGTTGGTATTTCTTATGCTCATGTAGAATAATCCGCAAGCGCACATAATACCGTTGTAGCATTTCACCTAGGAGTATTCTAGGGTATTGTATTTATCCACAGGGAAGCAATGGTTAAAGAAGTTGATAACCAACCATCATGTATCTACTAACTTAGTATACTGACTAAACTAAAGTGGGGCAAGTGATATACAATAAGATAGGGTGACACACAAGAAGTTCTACTCTAGAAAGGATAAAGTGAAAGCATAGCTAAATGGGGGGACAACGAGTGAGGGAGTTTCCTAAGTTCTTTGTATATTCTGGAGCAGACCAAACCGAATAACTAGGAATGGGTAAGACATAGCGATCATACACAATAACACTTTGGAGCAATAGTACCTTTTCGACCCTCGAAGGAGGGGAGAAAGAGTGGTCAGGGGAAGGCTGCCAAAAAGCACTACGAACACTAATCCGAACGTGATGGATTACAAAGGCCTGACAGAGCTGTCACCTCTGGGGCTACCACAACTATCCATAGGATTGGGCGCAAACTCAGGTAAACACTAGCCTAGACACCACGTCTATGCTAACGATTACTACTCTAGTCAAGTACTATAACTAGAGCACTCGATGCGAGCGGAGATTCCATGCTAAGGTGAGATACAACTATACTAACCATACTTAGCTAAACAACTAAGGCATGAACTAGATAAACAATAAAGAAGATACTAATATATTACATAGAAAGTAATATATTGAAATAAGGAAAGTACTACAAGAGATACAAAGATATACCAGACTCCTGAAAACCGCTCCAGACTCTAGGAAGAGCTCCTCTTCACTCTAACTCCCACTAAAGCTCACACTAAGACTACATCTTGAGAGTAGAGAGAGTTTCTTTTGTGGTGTGTTACAAGTGAGGGATGAGGGTCCTATTTATAGCCTAAGGTGGAGCAAGGGCGGCTCCAATGCCACATCATCGATCTAGGTGACACCTTCTCCTTGCCCTTGGATCAAACCGACCTTGATATCGACTTAACCAACGCTTGGGATGGCTCACACTTGTGCTTCTTTGCATGCTGTCCAAACGAGAGGCGATGGAGTGGCTGAGGGGCGCCGGGCGACGTAGGTTGGGCACCGATCGGCCCCCACTATTGAGTGGGCCCTCCTCCTTGGGTGTGGGCCCCTTGGGATGTAGTAGAGTGTGGGTATGAACACCATTTGTCCATTTGAGCACCCGGCATATCGGATGGTGAGTCAGCAATCCATGTTATGCTTCTTTTCGGCCCTTGATTACACACCGACTTAGAATCAACGGTTGAGAAGTCTTGGAGGTGTGTTTCTTGGTCATTTCCCACGGATTGGTGTGGTGGCACTAGTGGGGCCCCACCGGCCAGCGCCATGGTGGGGTCAGGTGGTGCAACCAAGTGGCCCACCTTGCTCCAATTGCTTCTAGTTGCTTGATTTTTGATAATTTTGTTTAGTTTTCCTGCATGAGCAATGATCTCCAAGTACAACTAGAAATATGTCAATTATAAACATAATTCATTACTTAAGTTGTTGTTTTCTCCCATGTTTGGTGCAATGTTGATGGTCAAAATAGGCATTTAGTGACCATCAACATAGGGTGCTCACTGTTTTGCCAATTTGGCGCTGTTTCCTTTAACACATGTTCTTTGTACAACTCATACTTGAAATACCTCCATTTTTTCCCATGCAGTGCAATGCCTGTTTCTTCACAATTTCTATATCGATGGGGTGCAAGTTGAATTCAAACAAATTCACCATCTGATCCTAACATTTCTTCTTGATTTCGACAGGAACACACCAATCCTCTTGACCTTTCCTCTTCTTCCGGTACCTGAATTTGATTGGGACAAGTTTTCTCACAATCGCACCCTAGGTGTTGTGGTATGGCGCTATCACTGTGTCTGGTTCCTCGGGTTCTCCAATGTAATCGAAGTGGTTGATGACAAGTCGGTAAGTGCGCAGCTTGTTACCACGTCGCTTGGTCCTGTGTCGAACGACTGTGTTTGTTACAGGTTCTTGTGCGCCAGTATCCTACACATTGACCGCAACGTTGCAATTATTAACGTTAGCCATTATGTATATCGACAATGTAATGAATCATGAGCATTGAGTAATTACCTCCCCATTTGCTTCGAGGTTTAGATATGTCGAAGGTGAAACTAGGCAAATGTCGTCGTCTTCAACTTCAATCTACAGATTCTGCTCTAGAGCCCGCAGTAATGATGTTCGGTACCACGTCAATACCATTGGTGCTGCAGATACCAATTCATAGACATACATTGTCAGTGTAGGCTAATAACGTGCGCTAAATGGAATCCCAGAAAACTATTGTTTCGGTTCATTTTGGATCAAAGGCATTTACCCAGATTTATTGAAAGCTTAACGAAGCATGAGATCCAGAGGTAGGGTTACCGACTTTCAATTGAGACCAAAAACACATCTAACAACCGTCCATCGCAAAAGACAATGACTAAAGCAAAAAAGTTGTAACAATCTATCAACTAATCTAAACCACTTGATAGGTAAAAAACAAAACAAAACAAAATAAAAAACCCTAATCCGAAGTAAGAACAAAGGACCAGAAACTATTGAATCTCATTTTCAACTCAAATAACACTACAAGAATCCTAGTAATCCATGACGAAAAATTTCTGTCACGGATCACCAAAAAACCATTACAAAGCAGCATCTATGATAGTTTTAGATACCATCATGGATTGAGCGTCATAAATTAACCTGCGTGGTCACCGATTAACACAATCCATGACAGTTCTAGACCGTCATAGAATAGCCTGAGGCCCAATTTGTCCAACCCAAGCCCAATGTCTATGACAAAAAATTAATAGATGTGAATTGCCACGTCATCATAGATTCTTATGTGGCCGCTAACATGGATGATAATGTGGACGCTTACATCGCCATACCATGCCATTTATTAGATCAGAGGTGGGCTGGACAAATATTTTTGGGCCAAAATCATAGGTATAATTTTGTCAACACAAATGAGAACTTAATCAAGCATGCTAATACATACAATATCTCATGTTTTTGTCTAGCACTAAATCAGATACAAAGTCTCATGTTACAGACAAGTTTCCATCTAGCATCACATAAAGTTTTCATCCTGCATTACATAATATAGCAAGTAATCACGTGATGAGTTACTATATCAAGCCTGGGAGGACGTGCTGCAGCTCTGCTGCTCAGCAGCAGCATATCCAGAAGGGCGGGCTGCAGCTCTGCTGCTCCTGTTCCAGCAGCAGCACATCAATTTGTAGAGAACTGCATAGCTTCAGCATTAACTAGATGTTCTACCGGAGTCGCAATTGAAGAAAGCATCTACACAGACAAGGTTGAGACTAGCGAAGTGCTCTAGACAAGGCTGAGAGTTTGTCAAAAAAAAATGTCTTGATGTACTTCACGGGTTTCAACTTATTAATATTCAGGTGGGGAAGTATGCTTGATGCTTTGTAAGGTCACATGCTACTAACAATTTGTTGTTGATAGTATTAAACTAGAGTTCAGAAGCAGTACATTTTTCAGGCTTTATTTGACAGAATACTTAGCAATCACTAGGGTATTCAATGTATTTAGCAAATATACCATTACAGGGTATCAATTACTAAAATTCAAAGACAGATTCATTTTCCTCCCATCTAGGCATTTCAACAAACAGTTGGTGCACAGACCTACTACAGGAAACAGAACAACTACGTCAGATATATGAGACTTAAACTAGACTGAAACTCAATTAGCAGCAGATATTATTTCGTTTTCTATTATGGAACCTCTGCAGCAGCAACCATGAGTTCGTGATCATTCAAATGATTTGACAAGTGGGAATAACTATGTTTCAGATCAAATGATAAGCTTAGCATGAAGCAAACACCCAGCCCATATGATTTAAAACTTGAGTTTGAACTTCAGATCAACCACTCTATCATGCATGACATTGACATTGACTGCAACTGGGAAATATTACAATCTGGCTCAACTAGGTAACAAAGGCACAATTAATAAGCACAATGGTATATATAGGTGTCTGGTGTATACAGCAAAAATGGGCTAGTGCAAGGATCAAACCTGACAAATATTTTTTGCAGCAATTGTGGCCTGTTCTAGAGATCTGCAGTTAAGATCAATTAAATTACAGTAGTCTGGGCATACAGCGCCAAGGGCCATATAATTAGTAGTCTGGTGCATACAACAAAAATGGGCTAGTGCAAGAATCAAACCTGACAAATCTTTTTTGCAGCAGTTGTTGTCTAGTCTAGAGATCTGCAGTTAAATAAGATTAATTACATTACAGTAGTCTGGTGTATACAACAACAATGGGCATATGTATTAGTCTGGTGCATACAGCAGATTTCTTTGTCTATTTATAAATTATTATTGCAATGATTTTGAATAACAGTCGCTAGTTAAATAATCAGGCAATTATAATAGTACTGAGCAGGGGCATAACCAGGCAATGAGCAACATTTGAGTCTAGCAATGCAAGTAAAAATAAAGCTGGACAAGTTGGCCTACACATTCTGCCACATGACAACAGCAAGTCAAGACAACATTAGAACAAAGAACTCAGTTCTCTTCTATGGTAAATTGTCTGCTGATCTACCCTTTCTTTGTGTCCTCGGTAGTACAGACAGGTAATGAACCAGAACAACTGAACAAACAGTTCTGCATTTTTAGAAATCAATATAGAATATTGTTAGTAACCACATAATTATTTTTGCAGATAGAGTCTGACAAAATACTGTGAACATACTACTACCTCCTGTCACATTCATTTGATGTTTCAGGTAGAGCTAAAAGGCAAGGTTATTTCAATGTAGTAAGAATGTCTAGCTTCTCTATCCCCTCTGCTCTCTATTAAAGCTGAAGCCTCAATTTCTATAAATCTATGTAGCCGATTGAGATTTGCAAGAACAATAATGATCCCCAACAACCAAGACTCGAGATCCAGAACCTACCAAGACGCCAGATCTAGAACATCGGTTCCTCGAGCAAGCTAAGCATTGTAGGTAAAGAATCGGGTTCCTAAGAGGTGCACAAAGTAGATGGACGAGGAGGGAAGCGGATGGGCGTGCACATACGCTGATGTCATCAATCTCCTTGCTGGCCTTCTTGCTGAACCAGTAGCACTGCGCACCGCCCGATTCGCAGACAACGCCACCGCACCGTCGCTGTTCCGCACCGCCGCAGCCCTGAGCCACCGCTGCTCTGCACCACCATATCCCGGCTCGCAGCCCCGGGCCAGCCGTCGTAGCCCCACGCCGCCGCAGATCTGAACCGCCGCTGCTACGCGCCACCGCATTCCGGCTCGCTGCCCTGGGCCGCCGCTGATGTGCGCCGTCGTAGGCCCACGCCGTCGCAGCCCGGCATGCTATTCCGCATCGCCACTACTCCACGACGCCAGCAGCCACCGCACCGTAGCAGCACCCACGCCGCTGCTGCACCATTTTGGGAGTTTGAAGAGAGGCAGAGGGGAAGCGGTGCTCGGGTGGCGGCTGGTGAAGTTGAGCGGCGCGTGGAGAATTAGGAGGGATGAGACGAAGGGTCAGAGGGAGGAGTGTGAGGCTGTGGGAGACTGAAAGGATTATTGGGCTAGGGTTTGTCCTCGTTTTTATACTTTGATAGCGGTAGTGGGCTGGGACGGGCCTAGCAGTATGGGCTCACTTACTTAATGATGTTCTAAAAATCCATCGTTAGGAAATCCGTCACGGATTAAAGGATTTCTTAAGCCGCATTCGTAAATATCGAATCATAGAATCGAAATACGAAAGCATGTGCTCCTTACTCGCTATGGTGGGTTGACGGCGTGTTTGCGTCCATTTCGACGGCGCTACTGCGGCTGCGTGGGTGACAGATGTGGCGGGCCGTGGAGTTGCGAAACCGTTTGTGGTCCTCGATGGAGATGCCAACACTCCAACTGTTAGTGGCCGTCGCCGACTGCTTGCGGTGGTAAGGGAAAGTGGAGGGAAACCGTGTTTTGGCTAGGCGCCGCCACCACGGGAGGACGGAGTGTGGAAAGGGATAAGAATGGGTCGCGTGGAGATAATGCAGGGCCCAACCCTAGAAAAGGGATCCTATGACTATCGGAGCTTTCACGCAGTCCACAACATTGTTCGCATGTTGACTTTTGCAACACCGTTTGCCATTGTAAACTGCGCATTAATTGCACAGCTCGATAACTACGGCACAACGTATCATAGAGAGAAGCAACAATGATGCACCAGAACATACTCATCATTAAGCGGACGAAGTCGAGAGGTGTGGTGGCTTAATGGGATGTGCATTTGTCCGATCCGACGTACACAATAAAGTAACATAATGCCTACATTAACATGTACATTTACAACATAACTTAGTAGCGACAATTGAAGTGTGGTCACTAGTACGTTTCTTGGATCACTTGGATGACCGAGTCCTTGGCAGTAGTGTCGATGCCAACCACGTCCCGCAGTAGGAGTTGCATCCATTCCCTATGCCAGGCGATGGCCTCCTCTTTCATTAGGCTGTCGTGCATCAACCAGCTGTATAGCCCGTCAACACAATTCTTCATGAAGTCGCTCAGGGCCTAGCTCAACGACTGTAGGGACAAAACAGGTGTCCACCTGGTGATCAGCCCGTGGAACACGTCGTATTCCGGATGTGGTGAGATAACAACCATGCTCCGAAACTAGATGCTAAGTATGGTACAATGAGCTTGCTGACGAACTCCTTCCACCAATCCAACAGACCGAACGTGTGCTCATAGCATAAGACCATATTGTTGTCGCAGTCATTCGAGAAGAGCCACCTGCATAGGGCACCCTACCGATTGTTTACACAGGACTCCTGAAGAAGGTGAACCATGGTGTCTAGCGATAACTCGGTGCCTGATCTCATTAGACCGTCAAGACACGCCGCCGCATGCGCCATTCTTGACATCGGCTTGTCACGGAGCTCCCCTAGTCCGCACGTCACATACGGCACGATGACCCACTGGACACACTCCCTCCAAACGTCATCCCAAGTAGCGTTCTCTCATGGAACCACCATGTCGTAATTTTTGTAGGCGCCTTCGCCGGTAGACTTGGTCAGGAGGTTCTCGAGGGATTTCAGCACCATGGTACTAGCAGCTCGAGGAACTGTCGCTCGATGATGGATATCCACGGACGCAGCCATACCCATCCTAGTTCTGCTTCCCATGCCGCATCGAACCTCTTGGCGGACTTGGACAGCTGTGGCACGGGCAGGAGCTGCGGCGGTAGCTTCAACAAGAATAGTACCAATTTATCTTGCTATGTGTAGTCGATTGTCCATGACCACCTCAACTCCGCCAGATTGGGGCCGACCTACAACTCCGTTAGCAACACGGCGTACGGCGACGAGGTGCACCTGTCATCCAAGAGTATTTCCATCAGCTTGGTCACCACGTCCATTAGCCGCTTTGGGTGCTCGAGCGGTTCCCACAACTCAGCAAACATCTCTTGCAGCATTGGGACCAACTCCTCGCGTGCTTTGTTCGTGAGGGAGCGATTCGTGTAGTCGCCCGAATTCTTAATCTTCAAATCCATGTACCGCCTGATAAGCTCATCTAAGTTCCCCATGGCCTGACTGTTCTTCTGCAGCCTTTAGGATTTGATGTCCTAGCTGGCATCAGGAGAATTCCAAGAACTCCCCCCTAATAGGATGGCCAGGTTGCTGCGCCAGACGATGACACGGGTTTGTTGGCTGTATCGATGGATATGTCGGCGTGGTCGGTGCCCAAACCCGCGCACCGACAGCGTAGTCGTCCCTCGATGCAGTTGACGTTCCCTTGATAGTGCCTACCCAGGCCACGACCACCCTTGTATCCCCAGCGTTTCATCATTTACCGCACCGCTATCTTCTCGAAAAGGGACGACGTCAAAGTGCCTTCCATCGAGGTAAGTGTTCTCCAATGGCCGGAAGATGACTCCAAGCAGGACTACAGATCCATAATGCCCCCGAAACAAATTTGATGGGTTGATTGTAATCCATACCTATGGCTAGCACGGCGCCAGAGATAGCCTCTAGTCCTAATAGTGTCGGCGTCGCATAGTCGCGGTTGCCATTGGCATCACCATAGTTGTACTCCGGTGCCACCGTATGCTGGAAGTTGTCGTCGACGAGCTCGTCAAAGTCCAAGGGAAGAGTCGACTGAGGACTGAGTGGGATGTTGTTGACACTGAAATTTGGTTCGGGGTGAAAAGACTCTAAGATCGAATTTATCAAGGAGAGCCGAAATATTCAGCAAGATCGGCTAACTAAGATTCCATCAGAATCGAATGAATAAGATGGTGTCATCATCTCAAAGGAATGGGCCCTATCGGTAGGAATGGCAAGACATGAAGCAAGAAGACGCGTTAGACTTCATAGAAGGGAAAGATTGGGGTCCAAGTTATTGTAATTTAGGAAATTTCATTTTCTTTTCCAAGTTTTGTAACCAGTCTTGTTCAACCAAGACTCGTAGTCAAGCCTCGGGTATAAATATCCAAACATCAATCAAAACAAGTACCTTTACCTTTTTCGGCCCCGTGCCACCCTTAGGAGTAGGAGCAAAGTAGATCTCAGCGAGTTCTTCGAGCAAGCAGGGCTACTATCGGTTAGGTCCGACCTTCGGCTTGTTTGTGAGTATCCGTCATGACTTATACTTTGTTTGTAAGGCTGCATCGGTTAGGTCTGACCTCTTGCAAGCTTTGTATAAGTTAGTTATCATCAGTTATTGTAAGGTTGCATCAGTCTGGCTCGTATCTCTTACAATTACTGATACAAGTTATACTTGATTCTTATCAAAATTTGTACGGTTGCATCGGTCCGGCTCGATCTCATACAAATTTTGATATGGATTAGTTATCGATATTGTGTTAAATAGTTTACTATTCAGCATAATATCACCTATTGCTCGATCTGGATTAAAGATTCCTCGGTCTTCATCTTTCGATCTATCGTCTGTCGACTATTTTTATGCTAAGATCCATCTATTGACGTTAGATCCCTTTTATCGACCGTTTTATCTTGATCTTGATCGATCATAGTGGGTGTCTAAAGCCCTGTTTCCATTAAGGAATAGGTTTGTTAATAACCAATCTCCGATTTGCTGTCTTCGTTACCAACCTGTTGGTAGCACACTAGATTGAGTATTGTTGGTTAACAGATCTACTAGTTAAGGGAGACATGACATCACCCATCCGCCATGTTTCTATCGGCCATTTTAGCCGATAGCCTGAGCATTCACGTGTATGGCGCGCGTTCGCGATTCCGTCGAAACATAAGTACGTTTATAGATCGCTAGGCTTGTAGTTTGCCATTCTACTATCAATGCTGCATCGATTTGGTCGACCTATTGATAGTGCCGTAAATTGGGTTTGGTCGGTTTGTAGATTTACTTATGCTTCAGTGGTTAAACGTTCGCATGTTATACGATAAAAAACCACTTAGATCGTCTCCTCGACCGGTTGCTTATGCTTTCACGCTCATAACACATGCTTATAATCTTGTCTAAATATAGATAGATCTATGTGTTCTAAGAGTTTAATTTGTTGTCATTATTATGGCTGTCTTCGACTCGTTTGACCCCCTCTATTAATGATGATAGGTTAGATTTGATAAGCATGTAGATTCATTCATACTGGATAAGTGATTAATCATGTGATATGCATCTGTTTACTCTGGAATAGGCAATTTTTGCCGATGGCCCATGCATTGCAAGTGTATTGGCTTTTATTATTGTACTTATTTTTGTCCTAATCTTTAAGCCAATACGGGGTATAGTCAATGGCAATGCTTTCATTCATATCAGCCCTTTACCATGTTTTTGCGTGTTTATGATCTTTGGCATTAGATTTATATCATTAATAGCTGATAACTGCCAATAGTGTTCTTTTTCAACATCTTATATCATGAACATGTTGGATATCGATGATTTTGTCGATAGCCTTATCGAATCGGCTATTTAGCCACACATTTGGAACTGTCTGAAGCAACAACGACATGTTCCACCTTAAATTACTGATTATCTTTCTCTCCTTGTCAATTATAGGGTCAAATCGACTGGCACACCCTAGGTCACGACCACCTGGTCCGGTGTCCTAAGTTCGGGGAGAGCTTAGGATCTACTCCACGTGGTTTCTCTCGGCTTACTACGTGTGCCGGCGGTGAGTTCTGTTTTTGCTGTTGACACAAACTTGGCATGCCTGGTGAGACCACAATCGTCAACATGGATAACAAAGCAATCCTCAAGGTTAACCTTGAAGACATGTCTGATGATCAGAAGGCACTCATTGATCGGGTGGCGGAGGAGTTCCATGA